GGAAAGAAATCTGAAGGAAATGCTGCAATTACAAATACAATGGATAAGTCAGAGAAATCATCGAATAGTACCAGCGAATACAGTTACCAGAAAGCCAAAAAAAAGGGAGGAGTTGTCTATAGCGCTGAAACCGAAGAAAAAGACAGCCATGCCCCCCCTTTAAGCCTGTTTGATGCAGTTAAAGAAAACAAAGCAGCTGAAAGTGCGAATATGACTGGCAAAGCCATAGAGGAGCCCATCAAAATGGTGCTGACTCCGTACGAGAAGCCTGCGATATGCTCTGCAGAGCCGAGCATTTCTGGGAAGAATAAAGATACAGGAAAGTATACTACTAAAGAGGCAAAACACACTGCCTCTTTAGAGGACGATGCATCAGATGGAGCCCAAGGACAAAACACAGAAACCTTTAAGTCAGACGACAGCCAAGCAGACGATACAGAAAAAGACAAAACCAGTCGGAAGAAAGAAGATTCTAACGTGAAAGAACATATCTTGGAGAGTAGAGGAAATTTCAGCGCAAAGAAAAATAATCCCACTCCAGAGAAGGACGATTCCAATAACTCAGAGAAGAACAATTCCGCCCCAGAGAAAGATAACTCTAACGTGGAGAAGAAAGACAACTCTAACGTGAAAGGAACTAGCTTAGAGAAGAAAGACAACTCTAACGTGAAAGAAAACAACTCGGAGAAGAAAGACAATTCTAATGTAGAGAATAGCAATTCTAACGTGGAAAAGAAAGATAACTCTAACGTGGAGAAGAAAGATAACTCTAACGTGAAAGAAAACAACTCAGAGAAGAACAATTCCGCCCCAGAGAAAGATAATTCTAACGTGAAAAAGAAAGGCAACTCTAACGTGAAAGAAAACAACTCGGAGAAGAAAGACGATTCTAACGTGAAAAAGAAAGACGATTCCACCCCAGAGAAAGACGATTCTAACGTGGAAAAGAAAGAGGATTCTAATGTAGAGAATAGAAATTCTAACGTGGAAAAGAAAGATAACTCTAACGTGGAGAAGAAAGATGACTCTAACGTGGAGAAAGACAACTCTAATGTGAAAGAACCTATCTTGGAGAATAGAGGAAATTTCAGTGTAGAGAAAGATAATTCCACTCCAGAGAAGGACGATAACTCTAACGTGGAAAAGAAAGACAACTCGGAGAAGAAAGACGATTCTAACGTAGAGAATAGCAATTCTAATGTGGAAGAAGTTGGCACCAACGTGAAAGGAACTGGCTTAGAGAAGAAAGACAATTCCACCCCAGAGAAAGACGATTCTAACGTAGAGAATAGCAATTCTAATGTGGAAGAAGCCGACAGCAACGTGGAAGGAACTGGCTTAGAGAAGAAAGATGATTCCACCCCAGAGAAAGACGATTCTAACGTGGAAGAAAACAACGCGGAGAAGAAAGACGATTCTAACGTGGAAAAGAAAGACGACTCTAACGTGGAAGGAACTAGCTTAGAGAAGAAAGACAACTCTAACGTGAAAGAAAACAACTCGGAGAATAGAGGAAATTTCAGTGAAGAGAAAGATAATTCCACCCTGGAAGTTAGCACCAACGTGAAAGGAACTGGCTTGGAGGAGAAAGATAACCCGAACGTAGAAGAAACTAACTTTGAGAATGGCAACTCTAACTTGGAAGGAGCCAACTCAGAAAAAGAAGATTCTAACATGGAAGAAGCCAACTTTGAGAAAGATAACCCGAACGTAGAAGAAACTAACTTTGAGAAAGATATCTCTAACGTAGAAGAAGCCAACTTTGAGAAAGATAACCCGAACATAGAAGAAGCCAACTTTGAGAATGGTAACCCGAACGTAGAAGAAGCTAACTTGGAGAAAGAAGATTCTAACATGGAAGAAACTAACTTTGAGAATGGCAAATCTAACTTGGAAGGAGCCAACTTGGAGAAAGAAGATTCTAAAGTAGAAGAAACTAACTTTGAGAAAGATATCTCTAACGTGGAAGAAACTAACTTTGAGAATGGTAACCCGAACGTAGAAGAAACTAAGTTGGAGAAGAAAGAAGATTATAACGTAGAAGAAACTAACTTTGAGAATGGCAAATCTAACTTGGAAGGAGCTAACTTGGAGAAAGATAACTCTAACGTGGAAGAAACTAACTCAGAGAAGAAAGAAGATTCTAACATGGAAGAAACTAACTTTGAGAATGGAAAATCTAACTTGGAAGGAGCTAACTTGGAGAAAGATATCTCTAAAGTAGAAGAAACTAAGTTGGAGGAGAAAGAAGATTCTAAAGTAGAAGAAACTAAGTTGGAGAAGAAAGAAGATTCTAACTTTGAGAAGGCCGACTCCAATCCGAAGACGGATGACCACGAGGCGGAAGAAAGCGGCCCGAAAACTCTCGAGTATAGAATCAAGCAAAACGGGGGCGAACCCAGGGATAGTCCAGAAACAGGCGGAAACTACGTGGAAACAGCGGAGAAGGCCCAAGCACCCGCTCTGGAAGAACTTCCGGACATAAAAGACGAGAAAGAAGTCGGAGAATTCCTGAAGAAGCTCCACCCGAAGGCCTCCAAGGACAGCAAATTCTGTTTTGTACGGCCGAAGAGCCCGAGCTCCAGCAGCTCCGTCCTCCAAAAGGGGAGCAGTCTCTTGATTGCCCTGGTACTGGCAGTCCCCAGACTCTTTGTCCCCAGGGAATAGCGAAAGCCCCGAGTAATCAATAAAACTATCTAGTTGAAAGCCCAAATAACCCGAGATTTCTCGTTTGAGATCCCCAGGAAGTGAGTGAATTCGGGTAAAGTCTAACTTATTTCTCTTCATTAGCATAAGAGGCTAGCCATCTAACTTTCTACGTTCCAATGAAGCATAAAGATTGCTCTGGGGGAGTAGAAACTCATTTTCTCTCCATAAGACTCAATAGCCCGAATGAGTGAATTCTCCGAATCACAGGCTGAAATATCACGAACACTCTGATACGGGAGTGCTTGAAAATCAAAAAATAAAATCAAAAATAAAAGTATAAATAGAGACAGAAGAGAAAGGGGGAGAATGGCAGAAAGACCTGCAATTTGCGCCTGAGTGAATTCGGGTAATTCTCAGGGGATGCCTGTAACTCCACTGCTCTGGCCTGTATCCTGCACCTCCGCCATTCTCCGCTGTGATTTTGTGCTTTCCCTGGACTCGGAGTTTATTCGGAAGTCCTGCTTCAGCGAGACTCCAGGACAGTTTTCGCGTGCGAATTTCCTTCTGTAGGACTCAGGGTGTCCTGCAGCTTCTCCTCCTGCGGCCTGTATATAGCATAGTAAGCCCAGGAATAGGAGAACTCTCAGGAGTGACTTTCGCATCGGGAGTGCAATAAACTGCTATTATTACTTTTTTTGAATGAAAGATATAGGCACTGCTAAAACTATTCGTGCGATGGATAGCCCTAATTTTCTCGTTATGTTTAGCCTGTGCTATTTCTCCCTCCATATTCTCACTAAACGCATTCTCTAAGAACTATCACGAGTAAATATTTCAGCATACAAAGTAGACTTTTATTAGAAAGTTACGCCCTACAGGGAAGACTTATTTCTTCTCCGCAGGATTACTCTCTTTCCCGTCTTTTTTTTCCTTTTCGTCTTTTTTTTCTTTTCCGTCTTTCTCCTTTCCGTTCTTCTCTTTTCCGTCTTTCTTCGGGTCAGCAGCAGAGACTATTTGCACGAGGAAAAGAATAAAAAGAGAAATTACAAGGACTGTTTTTGTTTTGTTGGAAAGTATAGATAGCTTCATACTTTGCTTTTTTCTTCTGCTTTTATACTTTCACGGGGTGATTGATAGAGAGCGTGTTTTGAGAGAGCCCAATTGCTGGGGGTCGGGAACTCTCGGGGAGTTTTGGGGCGGTCCTTCTCTGGGGAGACTTTCTTCCTGTGGACTTTCAGGTGCTCTCGTTTGATATTCCCTGGGATTGGCGGATTTTCCCGCATACTTTCACCTCCACGCGTAAAAGAGGGTTCTTTCTTCGGTTCTCCGCAGGGGGGAAGCGCCTTCAAAGGGCCAAACACCCTCTAAAGCCGGTTTCCTGCTTTCCCAGGGGATTCGCATCGTTTTCAGGGAGACTGTTTCCACGCTGAAGGCGATGCGAAGACCCTGGGAAAGCGGGTATCTGAAGCCCAGAACGTGTCCTTCCTTGAGGGAGACCTTCTTATGGACTGTTCCCAGGTCGTCATAGTATGATAGGTACGTAAGGCCTTTTCTCGGCAGGAAAACTCCCTTGATCACGGCCTTCCCAGAGTTTCTCACTAGAAATGTGTCAATACAGCGCGTGAAAAAGAGGTAGTCATCGACTGTCCGGGCGTGTTCCTCCACTGTTATCTCGCTCGGGAGTGAAGACTCCTCTACAATGACTCCCCCGCAGAAACAGGATACTGCAAAGACTAGTCCCAGGAGTATCCGCATATTGCAAAGAAAAAACAAAGTGAAATATCCACTAAAGAGGAAGAAATGGCTAGAGAAGAAGTAGAGCAGGAAGTAAGAAA